GTCAATGAAGTCAAGCAAGACATTCGAATAATAAGATACACCAGTTAAATGTTTGTTCTTTCACACCAGCGGGATGTGGGGAATGCGAGGGAGAAAGGAACAGTGGGTCAAGAGGCAGTAAGCGTTAAGAAGAGCCGTGTGACAGTGCGAGAGGGATAGAAAGAGCAGGGGATCGCGTTAATGTAACCTACATTTGGCCATGGTAAGTGCAAAGCCTGCACGAAGTTCGGTGTAAGCTCAATTCCGGCTTGCGTACTCTTGTAAGGGTAGCTGCTGCTAGTAAACGCCAACGCATTGGCTTAGTTATTTCGGTGGGACTTTACAAATCACACGGAAGACTTCGTTGTAGTCCACAAACTGGCCGGAATTGACAATGTATGCGAGAATGTTGCTGCTTACGTTCCCACATCGGAATTTTCTTTGCCCTATCGGATGGTGCCCCTCTTTCCCTCTGACAGGGATCTTTCTAACCAACTGCCCCCTAAAGCCAGTATCTCTAACATTCAACTTTTGTGTAAGGCTGAAAATTGATCGATTTCTCCTACTTATTCCATATTTAACTTGACTCTATTATTTTACAACCGTAATGTCCCGATGAGAGTTTATCGAAAGCAAACATATGCTCGGTATCTATTCTTATAAATTATAATTTACCCTTTTTTGATAAGGTTCATTGGACAAGGACGAGACTCTTCCTTCAAAGTATCAATCGTGAGTGTTCATTAAAAAAATAATATCGTAAATAAGCAGAGCAAACCAACGCTCAGCTGAAGTTCGTTAGCTGAAAGAACGGATGATGGAGAACAAAATATTACAGTTCCAGCACCCCGTAGAGACCATTTATAGTTTATCTTATGCCATGAGGCGACGATATTCTACACTTAAGCTTGGAGAACCTATGAGTTTAACTGATACTAGCTAGTCATCGAACACCTGATGGTCGGTGCTACGGATTACGCCTGTCATTAAGAGTTTCAGTTTATAACTCCAAAGAAAAGGAAAGGAACAAGTTCCCTACCACGACTAAACAAATAACGCACCATATGCAAGTGATACTAGAAAGATGATTATAAACCAAGGGGAAACGACATAGGTTCACCAGAAGTCCACGTGAACGCCAGATTAAGCTTAAATGCAATGAATGTCAATGTCAAGGTCAACGAGACAGTCCGCAAAGGGTGTCATAAATTGAGTTACCCAGCGAAGGTCAAAGAAAATGAATGAGTCACGCAAAATATTTATCGAGGTGTTTATCTGACCTGTCCATTTCCTAGACTCCAAATCGAAAGAAGTCCAGAGATTGTCATGCCGTATCGTATACCGGGAATAGGAAGAAGACCGTGAACGTAGTGCTACGGAATTTGGAGAGGAGCCTGCATACCAGCCCGTAGCCAGCGTGCTC